CGCTATGCTGGCACTGACGATCACACTATGACTCGGCTTGTGGAGAGATGGGTCCAGCTGATTCGTCTATGTGCCATGGAGCTCACGAGGACATGCGCGCTGCAGGGCTTCGAGGTCTCCGAGGTCGACCTAGTGCGGGAGGCCGCCGTGGTTTCCAACGGCGTGGTGAGCTACGGGGGCCAGACTGCATCACAGGTCGTTCTGGGCTTCACTCCTAGCGATTACTGCGACTTGGAGGCGACCACGTCGGACTCGGTGCAGGGCGCGATCGCGAGCTGCCCTGATCCGTTCGAGGCGGCAGTGCGTCTTCGACTTCTCGCCGAGCCAGAGATGGCCAGGGCGATCGTGGAGGACAGGGCCGCCAGAGCGAACCGCGCTCGAGTGCAGCGGCGTGGGCCCGAGCAGGATGAAACCTGGAGTCAGCGTGGGCGTCTACCGAATTCCCGAGCGGAGGGGGCAGTCTGGCTGGCGCGGCCCAGCAGAGTTGGCCACGATCACGGACGGTGCGGCGATTGTGGTTTGGAACGGAGTTCCCTGCATTCTACCGTATCGATATTTGAGGAGGCATGTGGCCAATTTCATGATGTATCAGGTTGGCGATGCCACGTCACCAGGGGCGGTGCTAATCAACGCCTTCAGGAAGCTCATGGACATCGTCGACGGTAGCACATGCGGACAGCTCGCACGACTGGGCAAGACAGTGGATCAGAATGGGAAAGTTGGGTGTTCACCATATGTCCAGACTCTGATCGCCATCCAGCTTTGGAAGCTATGCGTGCTGACGTACCAGCGGCTATTTCAGCTCAAGAGCTTGGGCGGAGTCTTGTGCGGCACCTCTCTGCGGCGAGTACCGGCGCTGCATGGAGTTCGATGTGGCCTCATTGTACGCTGGGGGCGCAGCGACCATTCCAAGTGCGTGGCCTATGAGAACGATCCAAGCAAAGGCGTCGTGATCAACGACCTGGCCGAAGTTAAGTGGGAGAACGCATCCTTCCTCGTTTTCTACTCACTATCGACTCAGACGGGCCCCTTCTGGGACGAACGCACGCAGCCGAACGTAGACGATCTATATCGCATCGATTCCGCCCCGGAGTCGGTCATCGATGTTGACCGCGACCTGGCTGAAATCATCTGTCTGATTCCCGTCATGGACGACTGGATGTCTGATCTGGAGGCTGCGATGCACGACGAGGCAGTGAGTCTCGACAAGACGATGCTGGACCAGGCGCAGGTAATGCAGCATCCGGCGGAGGTCGACAGGCCCATCTTGCGACGCTCAGGCAGTGGTTCCTGGACCACAGACGGCAGACCCTCGCGCGAGACCGTGGGGCCCTGGACATCGGCCGCAGCATGCAGTACCTCCTCCGAGGCTTGGTGGATCCAGAGCTGGGCCCCCCTGGCATCTCCAGCGGCAGCTTAACCGGCGACTGCGCCTGCACCGACGCCAAGTGTACGAGAACCGCCGCGTGCGCAGCTGATGCCATCGACACCGCCTGCGCTGCCAGTGCACGGACAGACACCGCGACAGGCACCTCCTGTACAACAAGTGCCTCAGCTTTCCCAGCCTCCGCGACATGAACCAGGAAAGGTGCGTAACCATGAGGACATCAGGAGTGTGCCAACATCAGATCACACTATGGACGATGCAATGGACCTCGCGCGAGAATCCGATCGCGTTCTGGAGCGAGCTGGGGTGCACGAACACACAAGGGCACCGACTGCTGCAGCACCGACAGCGACGGAGCCAACGCGACTAGTCCCGACACCAGCGACGGCAGCTCAAAAAACATCAACAGCACAGGATCGACCGTAACCACATGGGCGACCTACTGTCCTGGAGCCGACCGACGCAACTCTGGATATCACGAAAGATTTCAGCAAGTTTCTTGACGAAGAAATGAAGGCGCATCAGCCGCTGAGCGAGATTCTGGAGGAAACGACATGTGGAAAGAGAGGAGCGCAGCAACGCAGAGCTTGGATATCAGGTTAATACGAGCATTTTGCCAGAGACTCAGCGTCGACGTCTTCATGACAGCGAGCAGCGGATCGATCATGACCGAGGTGATCGCGGCCATGTACCCCCGCAGGATGCAGGACTGCAGGCCGAATGCGGACAACCGTCTCTTCGATACGCTGAACGACATGACGAGATCCATCCATGACCATCCTGGCCCACCTACAGTTCTGGAACCAGCGCGTTCGGGCATTGATCTGACGGGCAATCTCGAGCGAATATTGGATGAATCATTTCAACAGCATGAAAATCCGCATTGCAGATGGAGATTTCTCTTCCAGGCGCAATGTGTTGCACAGTGCGATCGAGTATGACGATAACGAAAGGCACACGATAAACTGCATCAAGGAAGCATATCTCGACTACCCTATCGCGACGATGGTTGAGGAGCACAATCGAGCGGGCGCCTACATCTCGGGCCTGCGAGAAGGCGATCTACTGTGGTATGCGACTGAAGCTCTCTGGACATTGAAATGCCTTTGGCGGCGGAACACTTGTTTTCTCTTTGTGCCTTCGGACAGGTGAAGTGCAGTGTCGCATTGTCGGATGCGCTGGCAGAAGAGGACACCCCGACTCACTGGAAGAAGGTCGAAGAGGCAGACTTGAAGGAGCTGGCGGCCTTGGTTGACCACGAGGTCTTTGCCTGTCGAGCCAGGCGATCCTTCTCAAGTACGAACATTTTTCACGCTGTGTGGGACAGGAAGTGGAAGTACGATGCCAAGTCCAAGGAGTGGATCGTGAAGAGCAGATTGTGCGGGCGAGGCTTCCCTGACACACATAAGCACGAAACGCAGCGACACTCGAGTGCGGCCAGCGGGTTGAGCCAAAAGTTGATTGCCTCGTCGGCGCAGGCGCATCCAGAGTTTGAGCTCGGGAGCTGAGACATCAGCGCGGCCCTCCTACAGGGCCTGAGCATTACTGGATCCGTCGTCGCTCCAAGGAGCTCGACCTCAACTGTGAGACGGTGCGGAAGGTCTATCTGCTCCCACCGAGCAGTGTATGGAGACTGCTGGATATGCTGCCCGGCAGGGAGATGCACCTGGAGATCTGGGATATCCGGATGTTCATCTTAGAGCTTCTCAAGCCAATGTATGGGCTAGTCGATGCACCCTATCTGTGGCAGTATGCTCTTTCTCCGTGTGTAGTGGACGTTCTTCGAGCGCGAGTGAGTCAATGGGATGAGAACTTCGCCTGCTGGACCTGCGATGACCTGCCCGACCGAGAACGGGACGTACATGCGGAGGAGAGGCTACGTATGGCGTTGCGGCCGCTCTCTCGATGCACGTGGACGACTTGTTGGTGGCAGCTCGAGCCAGGATTGAAAGTTAGTTCATCAAGCTCCTGGAGGCTAAGTTCGGAGCAGTGAAGAGGCAGCAGCTACCGTTCACACACAACGGCGCGCATTGCACGATATTGGCCAGTGAAACGATTCTACCGCAACAGGTTGACCATCGTCAAAAGATAGAATTCTGCGAGATTCCCGACGGGCATGCCGAGAATATGGTAACTGGACAGTACGCACATGGCTTCAGGAGTATTCTCACATCGATGCTGTTCTTGTGCCAGTGCAACGTCCATAGCATGGCAGAGGTGACGCAGATGCAAGATTCCAACAGCGAGCCGAATATTATCCGCCTCAAGCGAGCGAATGCACGATTGAAGCGAGTACGACAAGAGACCTCGCTGGTTGGACTGCACTACCCGAAGATGACACCACTCTTTTGCCTGAGAGCGATCGGTGACGCCAATCGTACGACGAAGACCTCAGTCTATCCTTAAGAAGGCCAGCTCGCGCTTCTCATGGAGGACAGAGATTTGATGATCAATGACGACAATGCCCTCCTTTCTGCGACCGTGGCCGCAATGTCAGGCAAGTGTCACATACTGATGGCCATCGGCAGCAAGGCGAAGAAGGTGGCACTCTCGACCTCGATGTGCGAGACGAATTGCGGGTTGGCAGTGGTGAGTGGAGCTCAGATGGTGGCAATGCGGATGACAGAAATGGTGTTTGCACTGAAGGGTACGACACGTCAAAAGATAACCGTCTTGATCGACATGAAGTGGAATTGACAATCTATTGTACCCATCGACCACTTGACGGACTGCAGGGAAATGTTCGAACTGGTGACCTGCCTTAAAAGATTGCCCCAGAAAAGCAGCAACGATTGGCAGTCATGGCGCTCAGAGAGGAAAGGATGTCCGGCACACTACGCTACAGTATGCATATCCCCAAGGATGTGATGATCGCCGACGCGCTGACCAAGCCTGGTGTCTTTCCTCAGTTAATGTTAGTGCTGACGACAGGAGTGGCCAGGTTTGCAGCGAACAAGAAAGTGATCACCTGTAAGCGAATTGTACATCGACTTGATAATTTCACGGAGAGTGACCTTGATAATATAGAGCGTTTTTGATATCTTCGGTGAGACGAATGTAACATACGGCAAGTGAGCATGAGCGACATGTTCAGCAGTGGTTGGTTTTTTATGATCTATATATATATATGTATGTGCTGATACTTGGAGATGGGAATCTTCCTCTCCACCGGCCACGGCTGGACCGAGCTCAGCACCCTTGACCGCGACTGGGTCGAGTTCAGCATCAATGTCGTGTATGAGGCCGCTCTGCCGGACTGCTCGTGCTTTGTCGTTTTTTTTTTTTCCCGCTTCAGTTTGGAAGATCTGGATGGCTACATCTTAGAGAGTAGAATGAGAGTGACCTATCAGATGTATTGTAGGGCTTGGCTAAGATCAAGTGTAGTATCAGATCAGAGGTTGAATGATGTACAGCAGTGTAGCAGCCACATTGATGAAGACCCGATGTACTCATATTAGGGCCCAGGGATTTGCGCACTAAACGATCCAGTGGGGGAAGGGGTAGTGGAGGGGGAGGGTCGGGAAGGGGAGGGGAGGGGAGGGGAGGGGGGGAGGGAGGAGGAGGAGGAGGAGTGACGGAGGATGAACCTCTGCGCCGCGGACGTTCCGCCGAGGGGCCGCACCCTGCAGCAGTGCGTCGACGAGTACTGACAACGCCATGGGCTCCCCCTCCTCCTCCTCCTCCCTCCCTCCCTCCCTCCCTCCTTCCCTCCCTTCCTCTTTCCCTCCCTCCCTCCCTCCCTCCCTCCATTTCTCCCTCCCTCCCTGCCTTTCCTCTCTACCCTCCGTCCCTCCTCCCTCCCCCCTCCTCTCCTCCCTCCTCCTCCCTCCTCCCTCCTCCTCCTCCCTCCCCCCCCCTCCCTCCTCTCCTCCTCCTCCCTCCGCCTCCTCCTCCTCCTCCTCCTCCTCCTCCTCCTCCTCCTTCTCCCCCTCCTCCTCCTGCTCCTGCTCCTGCTCCTCCTCTTCTCCTCTCCTTTTCCTCCTCTCTACCTGCTGCTCCTCTTCCTCCTCCTCCTCCTCCTCTCCTCCTCCTCCTCCTCCTCCTTTCTCTCCTTCTCCCTCCTCCTCCCTCCTCTTCCGTCCTCCCTTCTCCCTCGTCCTTCCCCCCCCTCTCGGGCGCCCCCCCTCTGCGACCACTTGCGAACCCTGGCCCTCAGGGGCAACGTCATGGGGGGCAGGCTCAGGGGGGATCGCATCGACCGCCAGTCGCCCGCTGATCGCCGACAGGGGCCCGACAAACCCCACCCCGCCCAGGATCTTCCCGATTCGCCAGTGGCGGCCTGCCGCCGCTCTGTCGGCGATGCATCGCAACTTCCAGGCCGATGCTCGCCCTCTCGGAGCCAGTAGGCCCCGAGCTGTTCCTCCTCCTCCTCCTCCTCCTTCTCCTCTTTTTCCTCCTTCTCCTCCTCCTCCTCCTCCTCCTCCTTCTCCTCGTCCTCCTCTTCCTCCTCCTCCTCCTCCTCCTCCTCCTCGTCTTCCTCCTCCTCCTCCTCCTCTTCACCCTCCTCTCTCCTCCTCTCGTCTCCCCGCGCCCAGGATCGGGGGGCAGCCCGCTGCGCCACTGGCGGTCTGCCTCCCGGCTCCCGCGCGCTGGGCGCGGCGGGCGCGCGCGCCCCCTGGCCTGGCCAGCTTGGCGTGCCGCCCCCGGGGCCAGGATGGTCCTGGCCAGTCGCGGGCAAGCGCGCAGCAGGGGATGCTTACTGCATGTCCTGATCCCCCGCCGCAGAGGCGGTCCTGTGGCGGCGCCGCCATGCACACCTACGGTCCAGAGCATGCACACTGCGGTCCAGAGCATGAGAGTAGATTCGTTTGGATCCCCTCTCGCTCCATATACTTCGGCCCAGGCCAGTCGCAGGCGGTTTTTCTCCCCCAATCCCGGAGTTCCGCCCGAAACGTCTGATCGTTCAGAAATATAGGGGATATGATTGGGATGCACCCCAAGGGGGGGCTGTTCGGACGCACACCTCTCGAGGATGGACGCTCCCCATCGTGTATACAAGGGTTGGGCCCGAAATTGTTGGTCCATGCGAAGCCCCACGAAGCCTGTGATAGGGGTCGACATATCCCTTGTTAGCCAGGTCTGGTGCAGGTGTAGTACCCGGAACAGCCATGCATATTCAAGAGGCTTACGTCATTCCGCCGACCCCCCGAAGAGGGACGAAGTCAATGGGCGAGGCCTTTGGGGGCCTCTCGGGAGCCCTTTCGGGGCCTCTTTTGGGTCTCTTGGGGGCCTTTTCGGGCCTCTTGGGAATTTCTTGGGCGCCTGCAGGTGAGTATCGTCCAGCAGGCATGCTTCTGTTATGTGTGCGTCGGCCCCGCGAGGGAGCAGCGCACGCTCAGAAACCATTCCGTGGTGGGCGCTTTCTGGCCACTCCGCCCGCGAAACTGTATATAAGATTTGCGTACTACATGTCCAGGTCGGACGTGCGCCTCCAACATCATCGCATAGTGCTAGTGTGCCCTTCTGCCTCCCATATCACCCTGAGATCCGACGTCGTGGAACCAATTCAGCATCGTCAGAGATCAGGGCTGGAACCGCGGGCCCCAGCTTTCTGCTGCACCCCTCGAGCCGGACCGACCCGCGAGGCTCGGGCTCCGCGGCCCGATAAGCTGGACGGTAATGCCGGCGCGTTTGCAACCTCGCGACGCCCAGATCCCAGGGCAGTCGATTGCCCCGAGCTGGGCGATTTCGCCCAGCGCGTTTTGCAACATCGCGACGGCCAGATCTCAGGGCAGCCGAGCGCCCTCTTGCCCGCGCGCCGCGCGCCGCGCGCCGCGCGCCGCGCGCCGCGCGCGCTCCGCCGGCCCCCTCGGCTGGCCTCATACCCCCGACCCAGAGGAGGGCAGGGTACCAATAGCGCCACCCTCGAGTCGTTTTCGCCTTTTTGGGCCTCCCGGGAGGCCGTCGTTGCCACGGTTGGATTCGCCTCGATTCTGGGCAGAACGAACCCCGGGAACGGTCTGGGGAGCAGCGGTATGAGCTCCTTTGGGTTTCCCCACCGACGTCATTTTTGTTTCACAACCGCGACCTTCATATAGGTTTCGACCCATTCTTAGCGACCAGGTTTCTTTAATTTTGATTCGTTTCTTCCAAGTCCCATGGGTTCAGGGCCCGTCGACGGCCCGTGGATGCTAGCAACGGCGAAGAGCCCCCCGTCGTGCTGTTCATCAAGGCGCGAGCGTTCAACTACGGGATCGACTACGGAGCTGATTTGCCCCTCAACAGATTTTTCCGTCGAATCTACGGACACTGCGTAGACTGCTCCGTAGATCTACGGGACATCCCGAGTCTTCTCCGCTGTCTCGACGGCGAACTCACTGCTGGGGTAAAACCAATCCTGCAGTCGATGCCCTACCCGAAGCGCCTCTGAGCCGCCCCGGTCCTGCCCCTCCCGGCCTGGCCGCCCGGCCCGGCCGCCCGGCCTGGCCGCCTGGCCTGGCCGCCCGCTGAACGGCCTGGCCACCAGCGGGCGGCGCCCTCGCGCTGCTCGCGCTGCTGGCGCGCGCGGCGCGCGGCGCGCGGAGAGGCTCCCTGTTCGCCTCGATGGGGGACCGGGAGTGGCTGTACAAGGGGCAGGCGGCGCGTCCGGCCAGCTGGTCTCGACTGCACGAGGGTGGCCCTGCGTGCGGGCTCCTATCGCGGCCCCCCCGATCGCTGAGCGCGATGCGATCCAGGCTGCTTGCGCGCTTGGAGGTGGCCAGCCTGCGCCCCCGTAGTGCGCGCACCAAGGGTCACTCCTGCCTCGGTTCACTCCTGCGTGCAGCCGAGAGGGGGAGCAGGTACCCATACGGCTACCCTTCCCTCGTTGCCCCCTTTTTGGGGTTCATGGGAGGCCCTCGTCGCCACTGCTGGATTCGTTTCGATCTCCTGGTCCGAACGCACCCTGGGGGAGGTCCGGGGAGCAGCGGTATCGGTGCCCGTTGGTTTCCCCGGCTGGGAGGAGGGGGGGGATCGGCGGCGAACTCCGAAGCCTCCTCTCGCCGATCCACGATTCAGGCCACTCGGTGGGCGGCGGGGGTCGGGTTCGGAGTTCATCGAACACTTGGCGGAATCCGAACCCTATCCCCGCCTCCCATCGATTCTGGAGAACCGATGGTTGGTGGGGGACAGGAGTGAGGGTTCGGATGTTGCCACCTAGGGATGGGGACACGTGCTCTGGTTGTGGGCAAGGTAAGTTTTGTGTGTCAGTTTTCGGGACTCCAGGGGCCCTCGCTGGGTTGACCGTCTGTATCACGCCGCCGCACTCATGTCAGCACACCCTCCTTTCGTCTCGTGGCCCCCCAGGGCGCTCCACTGCAGGTCCCACTGGTACAGTCGCATGTGGCCGCCACGCCCATTTCGGCACACCCCTCATACGTTTCGTGCCCCCCCAGTGAGCTCCACCGTGGGTTCCACTGGCACAGTCCGCACGTCGCCGCCGAACGCATGTCGGCACACCCCTCACACGCTCGCTTCGTGGCTGCCTGAGGGGCGGCTCCACCGAGAGTCCCACTGGCACAGTCCGCATGTGGCCGCGCACCCATCTCGACACACCCCTCACACGTTTCGTTTTCCCATTGGGAGCTTCACCGAGTGTCCCACTGCCACAGTTCGCATGTGACCGCCCCCCCCACACCCCTCGCACGCTTCGTGGCCCCCAGTTGGCCCCACCGAAAGTCCCACTGGCACAGTCCGTATGACGCTGCCGCACCGATGTTGGCACACCCCTCACACGTTTCGTGTCCCCATGGGGAGCTTCACCGAGGGTCCCACTGGCACAGTCGCATGTGACCGCGCCGCCCATTTCGGCACACCCCTCACACGTATCGTGCTCCCCCATGGAGCTTCACCGAGGGTCCCACTGGCACAGTCCGCATGTGGCCGCCTCACCCATGTCGGTGCGCCCCTTACACGATTCGCGGCTCCATGGGCAGCTTCAGCGAGGGTCCTATTGGCACAGTCCGCATGTGTCCGCCACACCCACTTCGGCACACCCCTCACGCACGCTTCATGGCTTTCAGGGAGCTCCACCGCACGTCCCACTGGCACAGTCCGCATGCGGCCGCCCCCCGCCCACTTCGGCACACCCATCATATGTGTCGCGGCCCCATCGGGAGCTCCACCGAGGGTCCCACTGGCACAGTCCGCATGTGGCCGCCCCAGCCATTTCGGTACACCCCTCGAGCCTTTCGTGCCCCCCAGGAAGCTCCGCTGAAGGTCTCACATCCACAGTCCGCATGTGGCCGCCTACACCACCCACCCCCGCGCTCTTCATGAGGAGCTCCACCGAAGGTCATACTGGCACTGGCGCAGTCTGCGTGCGGCCGCCACGCGAATTCCGGCACACCCCACGGGGAGTTTCACCGAAGGCCCCCCTGGCACAGTCCGCATGTGGCCGCCACGCGAATTTCGGCGCACCCCTCACACGTTTCGTGGCTTCACATGGAGCTTCACCGAGGGCCCCACTGGCACAGTTCGCATGTGGCCGCCCCGCCCATTTCAGCGCCGTGGCCTCCAGACTCCCGACCTCTTTTTCTGGCGTCGTTTTCCGTCCCGGATGCATTGTAGATTGCCATTGGGCCCGATAACGGGCCCCAGTGGCCGAAAGGAAGGAATAACGCAGGGATTGAAGTAACCAGATCGTCGGAGATTTGGTCGCCTTTCTTTATTCATTATTTCGCCGATCGACGCGGGCCCCCGCCCCCCTCCCAAACCAGATCTTTTCTGCTTTGGGCGGCTGCTTTTGGCGACTGGTCAGGATACTTCTCCCCAGTCTGCTGGCGCGACTGGTAAAAGCAGATCGACTAAGCACCGACCCAGATCCAGACTCCCCCCCCTCCCCCACCCTTCGGCCAAGCGTCGACACCCAGAATCTCGAAACGCCCCTTTCCCTGGGTCCCTCTCCCCCCCGCCGCCCCGAGCGGGACCATCACGGCAAACAGGCCGACGGGGGCACCAGCGCCGCCAGCGCCGACGCTGTCGGCGACGGCGACGGCGACGGCGCCGATGCCGCAGGCGACAGCGCCGGAGCCCGCGAGGCGGGCGCGGCGGCGGCGGCGCCCGTGAGGCGGACTTCGTGCTGCTGCTGGACGCGGGCATTAAGGACAGCTTTCCCGGGCAGGCGCCCCGCGATCGGGGTAGCGTCGAACGGAGCCCCATTCCTCGGGACGATCGAAACTCCGAGGCGGGAATTTGTACATGACCACCGCCTGGAGGATCAATTTTCGGGGACCTCGGCAGGCGGTGCATATGGATATAATCGGGCCCCCAGGGGCCAAAATATATCCATATCCACCGCCAGCTGGGGCACCAGGACGTCGGTTGCCAGGCGGTAGATATGGATAAATTCCCGCCTCGCAGAAATAAGTGCGGACAGAGTGGGTACAAACACCGACAGCATTTTTTGTCCACTTTGAGCAGGGCTCGCTGTTGGTGTCCTGGAGTTGTCGTCCCTTTTGAACAGATCTAGGCCTCCTAGGCGGGGTCGGAGTAGATGGGGTCGGAGGATCGCGCCGCATCGTCGATGCATCGGCGTTGCGGTTCGATGTGCAGCCCGAATTGCTTTACGTCGACGTCGCCGATGCATCGCCCACGTCGACGGTGCATCGCCGGTGCATCGTCGATGCATCGCCGATGCATCGTCGATGTATCGGCGATGCGGCGCGATCCTCCGACCCCATCTACTCCGACCCCACCTAGGAGGCCTCTAACAGAAGGCCGCCTGCCCAATAGCGGCCGTTGTTGGTGCTGGGCAACATTTGTTGTTTGGCATCGTACCCATTTTTGTCTGTACCCATGCCGGGCGTTCGAAATCCCCGCTGGGCCATGTTTCGGGGACCAAGCGCAGTCGACTCGCACAGTAAGGATGCGCGACTTCCCAAGATTACCCTTGCATCCTTCCCCTTCGGCTCTTCCTTGGCCGCTTTCACTGCCCGCGCCCCGCTCGCAAAGTGTCGACATCGCCTTCCAAGGCCCTTGCATCCTTATCGTGCGTCCTTATCATTCGGGTTGACTGTCATGGCATAGACAAGAACTTTCGGAGGTCCGCGCGGGTTTCTCGGATCGGCGCTGGAGTTTCCTCAAGCTTTTCTGGGACCTGTGCAGGGGCATCTGTATGTATGTGTTTATGTATGTATGTATGCATGCATGCATGCATGTATGCATGCATGTATGTATATATGCGTGCATGTTTGTACATGCGTGCAACATGAATGTAATGTACTGCAGTGTAATGATATGTGCTGTAATGTAATGTAATGGAATGTATTGTAATGTAATGTAATGTAATGTAATGTGATGTGATGTAATGTAATGTAATGTAATGTAATGTAATGTAATGTATTGTCGGGGGAGCGTAAGACCCGGGTTTGCCAGGACTTGGGTTCGCCATCGTTTTTTGACGACCGCGCCTCGGATTTTGACGAGGAGGAGTTTCGTGGGATGTCTGCAGCGGGAGGCCTCAGAAACATGCAGGCTCGGCCTCGTCATTTTTTTGACGACCTCGTCGGGGATTTCCGAGTCCCCTGTACCCAGGTCTTACGTCCCCCTGATATTGTAGTGTAATGTAGTGCAATGTAATGTAATGTAATGTAATGTAATGTAAATGTGGTTTGATGTACTGTAATGTAATATGTAATGTAATGTAAGGTAATATTTTGGAGTGGAATGTAATGTAATGTAATGTAATGTACTGTAATGTAATGTAATGTCATGTGATGTGATGTGATGTGATGTGATGTGTTGTGATGTGATGTGATGTGATGGAGTGTATTGTAATATAATGCAATGAATCGTAATGTAAAGTAGTGTAGTGCAATGTATTGGGATGTAAGGATTGTAATGTAGGGTAATGGAAAGTAATGCGATATGATGTAGTGTGGTGTATATAATGAAGGTATTTATTTATGCATGTCTGTCTGTCTGTCTGTCTGTCTGTCTGTCTGTCTGTCTGCCTCTTTGCCTGTCTGTCTGTCTGTATGTATGTATGTCTGTATGTATGCAGTATGCATGCATGTACGTATGACATACCTACGTATCTACGTACCTATGTCTGTTTGTCCGTCTGTCTGCCTGTGTGCCTGTCTGTCTGCCTGCCTGCCTGCCTGCCTGCCTGTCTATCTGTCTGTCTGTCTGT